CGCAGTTTGCCCCCATCGCCGCGTCTGCCCCCAGCCCGTCGGAGCCCTGCTGCTGGAGCACTGCAGAGTCGCCCAGGAAGAGCCCAGCGGCTTCTCCATCAGTGAGTGTCCATCACTGAGTGCTGGGGGGCGGGGACGAGGCCCGCCGAGACCCAGCTCCGCCCGGCCGCGCCCCAGAAACAAAGTCCGCCGGGCCCCTCCCCTGCGCTCCTCCCCTGGGGTCCCAGGCTGGGCACACCTGTCCCAGCCACTTCCGAGCTGCCACCCCGAACGCCACCTCTTGTTGGGGACCAGTGCCCTCTCGGGGTGCCCGGTCCACTGCTGGGGGCCCCGGAGGATTACTCCTGGGCTCTCTGGAGAGGGTGTGGAGTATGCAGGGGAAGACGGAGCCTCTGCTAGTTTCTGGGGGCTGCCTTAACGAAGTGCCGCAGGCTGGGGGGCTTAAACAGCAGAAATTCACTTTTCCCGGTTCTGGAGAGCGGAAGTCCGAGATCGGGTCGTCGGCAGGCAGGATTCTTACAAGGGAGAATCTGTCCCATGCTGTCTTAGTTTCTGGGGGTCGCTGGCAATTTTGGCATTCCTTGGCTAGTAGGAGCATCACCCCGTCTCTGCCTCCATCTTTTGTGGCCTTTTCCCCTGTTTATGTTTGAATGTCCAGTTTTTATAAGGACACCAGTCCTGTTGGATTAGAATCCACCGCACTCCAGTATGGCCTCGCCTTAGCTAATTATATCTGCGACCACCACCTATCCAAATACAGCGGCATTCGTAGGTCCCAGGAGTTAGGATATGTCCTTTGGGGGCATGCAATTCAATCTGCAGCTGGCGGGAAGTGGTGAGTGCAGGCTGGGGCTGGAGAGGCTACAGCTGTGGACAGCAGCAACAGGAAGCTGAGGCCTGTGGTTGTCTGGGGGGCCGCTCCCTCTGCAGGCTTCATCGGGGACCCTGAGCGGAAGTACCACTTTGAGTGCGGCAGCGAGGAGCAGTGTCAGGAGTGGATAGCCGCCCTGCGCCGAGCCAGGTGGGCTACGGGCTGGCGTGGGGGCCCCGGGCAGGGGCAGAGCAGGGCCCTGTGAGCGCGCGCTGCTTTCTTCCCCAGCTACGAGTTCATGCGGAGGAGCCTCATCTTCTACAGGAACGAGATCCAGAAGATGACCGGCAAGGTGCGGGAGGGGCACAGGGTGCGGGGGAGGTGGAGGGGCTGGGGGTGTGGGCCTCCTGGGCCCTGGGCTCACGCCGCCCCACCCACCCGCCCACACAGGACCCCCTGGAGCAGTTTGGCATATCGGAGGAGGCCAGGTTCCAGCTGAGCGGCCTGCAGGCATGAGTCCGGGCTCAGGCTCCTTGGCTTTCCTACTGAGGCTGGGGCACGCCCTCCTCACCTCGCTGGGCCCCCCCCACCTCGCTGGGCCCCGGGTTTCCTGGCCACACCTGGATTTGCCGCGGGAGGCGTTTAGGCTTAAAGACTTCAAAATCTCAAGGCTGGTGGGGGTGGGCAGCAAGTCCTCCTCCCCATGCCTCGGGACCCACTGGACTGGCCCAGTACCTCTCGGTGCCACATGCTGCTGCCGGGGACGAGCGTCCACTCCCAGGAGCTGCGCCTGGCCCCTCGGGCACGTGCATCCAGGGCCTGGCGGGCGCCTGGGGCTGGCACAGCTCTCCTGCCCTGTGCAGGCTGAATGTACAAAGCTAGACGATGCTGTGAAGGGCAGGGGGCCCGTGCCTCCTGGGCCACTGTGAATTCTCCACCTGCTGACGGGGCAGACCCTGGCCGGACGCCTCGGGCCGGCGTGCTCGTTCTGTTCAAATAAAGGTACCTCTTTTCACATGGGGCGGTGGTGCGGTGAATGCAGTGGGATGCGTCCACAGGCTCGTGGTCCCGGGTGGTCGAAGCCAGCTCCCGAGGGAAGTGAGGCTCGTGGGGACAGAGGTCCTGTCCAGGCTTGAGGGTTAAGTGGTGGGGAGGCTGGGGCCAGGCTCCTCAAACCAAGGGAGGCCTGGAACCAGAGCTAGGAAAGGCAGGGGGCCCTGAGTAAGAACGGAGGGAGTGTGTGATGGAATTATAAGGTGACCCATGACCCACCCCTGCTTTCCAGGCCTCCCCTGGGTGCAGGCGGGCCCTCAGGAAGGGTTTGGCCCATGTTGTTCAAGTCTCTCATCAGTTGGTTTTAGTTAATCAAAAGGGAGGCCGTTCTGGGTGGGCCTGATCCTGTGGGGTGTAAGCCCTTGAGGTGGGGCTGGGCCTCCCCGAGGTGGGGGCTCGTCATCTGTCTGTCATGGTCACAGCGGCTGTCTTCAGGAGCACGAGGAGCTTCTGCTGGAGTGACTGTCCTCCCCACTGGGGACGGCGAGGACGGCCCGGGGCCCTCTGGGTTCTCCAAGACCTTGTCATGTCTTGATTAGGAAGAAATGCTGCCACCAGACCAGGTTCGAGTGAAAACAAATATTTTATTACAGCATCTCGAGGTGGAAATGCAGGGTGCAGGGGGTTCCCTTAGAAAAAGGGGGTCAGGCCACCAGCCCAGAGAGGGACAGGCCGTGCCAGCACCCCCAACCCAAACAGTCTACCAGGAAAACAAAGCAAAGCCCACGTGAGTTACAAATCAAGGTCGAGACATGAGAAATGAGCCGGTGTGGATGGACCTTCTAATGAGAATGACGCAGCGGGACGAACATCGTCTCCTACTGCAGCAGGTGGATAAATAAAGGGGTAGGGGTCTTAAATAAGTCACGAGTCACAGCAGGGAGGAAAGGCTGACCCCCCTGATGGTGGGTGGTCCTAGTTGTTAGGGTTTCCTGAGCAAAGCGACCTTGCAGCCCGCTAGCTTCCCTGAAGGTGCCCGCCGTCACAGCAGGACCAGGGCTCCATCCAGCGCCACCCAGAGGCCAGAGCCCGCTGCCCGAGTCGTGTGCCGGGGCCTTGCTGCGAGGAGGCTGGTCTCAGAAGGGCCTAGGGGCTCAGACTGGAGGGCGGGCACAGAGAGGAGACTCCCGAGTGCTCACGGCCGGTGCATCCCCAGCAGTGGGCGTCGGTGCCCGTGCGCAGACGCGGCGTTGGGGGGAGCCCGCACGAGTGGCAGTGTGTGTGCAGGGGCGCTTGGTTCTGGGCCAGGGCCGCGCCGCGGCTGCTCCTGCCAGCTCTGCAGCTTTTCAAGGAGCTCTGTGCTCCCCACGTGGAGAGGGCAGCTGAAGGGACCCTCTTGGAGCGGCCAGGCGAACGCTGCCCTGTCCTGGGGGCTGGGCGCGCGGGGTTCAAGGGGCTCACGGGGGTGAGGGACAGCACCTTCGTGCATCAAGAGCACCAACCGCCAGGGAAGGGACCAGGGTGGCCAGTTACAGGAGAACGGGCCAGCTCCGAGAGCCCGTCACAAGCACCGTTTTCGGCTTCGACTATTGCTCTGGGCAGGGTGTTACCCCAGTCAAGCAGGGAAGTGGGGCCCGCCCACGGAAACCAGGCCTCCAGGCAGCGGCCAGGCCTGCTCAGCACGGGTGGGTCTGCCCCTGGGAGGCTTCTGGAGGTGGGAAACCATCCTGCTGTCGCCCTTTCTGGCCCGCGTTCCACACGCCTCTGCCCGCCCGGCCGTCCTCAAGGCCAGCTCTAGACTTGGCCGCAGGGCTGAGGAGGAAGCAAGCCAGGCCTCGGCCACCACACCCACCCTCCCTGACAGGCAGAGCCCCAGCGTCCACATCTGGAGGGGCGGGCTGGGCTGGCTGGGCTGGGGAGGGCGGGACCTCCAGACTTTTCCTCTAGCAACAAGTTAAGCCCCTACACAGAGCCCCACCTTGGAGAGAGACGAGTTCTGCCCCTTCCCTGGCAGTGCCACCTCAGGGGGGCAAGCACCTGAGGATGGGGCTCTGACCACACTCACCCAGCCCTTGCTGGAGTGCCCTTCTTGGGGTCTGGAACCCAGCTAGGACCTTTGGCCGATGTTGGCCCTTTCAGGGGACCAAGGGCTCCTGGACACGCCCTCTCAGGGTGGCACACAGACAACAATGCTCAACTGGGGGACCTTGCACAGTCACAGATCACTGTGCTGCAGGGGCCCAACAACCCTGCTGACAACCTCTAAAAGCACCCAGAACAGCTCTCCTGTTTGCCTGTGGAGCCTTTGCCCTGGTCCCCTGTCCCCAGCGCATTCGTTCACAAGCACCATCGAGACTGCTCCAGTGTTGGGGCAAGTTCACCCCAGCCGAGGGGTCAGAGGGCCAGTGGAGACAGAGCGGCTGCACGGACTGACCAAAGGGCCTCGGGCAGGGGCGAGGGGCTGTGGGCCAGCCCTGGGCCAATGCCACTTGTGTGCACTTGAATAAATAAAAAGGTTTTCCCCCCTCACTTTTCTTTTTTTTAGTTTACTGTGCATCATACAATCTAAAAATAAATGAAGTCAAGTCTATGAAATTTATAAACTTTCATCACATCTCTATAAAATACTGTCACTCGTCACCGTGACTCTTTTCTGTACAGACACACCAGGCACCCATGACTGACCTGCCCCATGTCACCGGCTGGCGCACCACGAGCTGACTGCGCTCCGGTGGACCGAGGCGGGAGCCCGGGACGAGCAAGGACGTACAAGAGTAATGCACTTGTTAGAGCAGCCGGCGCACCATGCCGTCCGAGTCAGGTTCCAGACCCGCCTCGCGAGCACCACTCACAACGGGTCCCCTCCTCGCGGCTCCACCACCACAGGCGCTGAGGAGGATCAGGAGGGCCTCACCTGCCGCCAGGCCCGTCCGCCCGCCAGGCCCTTCCTATGCCAGAGGCACCGCTCCCGGCCTGCAGGGCTAACAGTCTGGTCGGAGCCGTTCACAGTGATGGGCAGGGCGCCCTTGGGGGTCAGGCCTTTGCAGAGGGCTGGCGCATGGCCTGGAGACGGCGGCCTTTGGTATAGGAAGAGCGCAGGGATAAAGGCGGGCGCGTCAAGGACTGGACTTGGCGTTGGTCAACCTCGAGTCAGCACCAAGAGAACATGGAGGGCGGGCCTGGCGACGGGCTAGCACCGGGACCGGCAGTCGGCGTCTCCGCAGCGGGCCAGTCCTTCGGGAAGATGTCTTTATATAGATCCTCTCATATATAGTATTTACATTTCTCAATAGGTTGCCTTTACGACTTCGGTGGAATAAAATAAGTCAAAATTGTTTATACTTTTTAAAAAACGATAAATACTTTATCTAAAACTATCAACAGTACGAGCTGGAGCCAGGCCCAGCGTCTCCCGCAGGTCTGCGCAGCGCTGATTCACAGTAGAACTTCGTCTTCTGTCCTCTGTCCGTGCTCCCGGCACCGCGGCCACCCCATCCTTGCATAGGTCTCGAGGTTGAGGTAGAAATCCTAGTTACCTGCGGAGACCGCGTGGGAGAGAGGCAGGATAGCGTTAGCATTGCATCTGGAGAAGCCCAGGGAACCAAAGCCTGCTACAGACGGACGGACGGACAGATGGACAGAACATGGTGGTTGCAGGGCTGTGGCCCCGCCACTCCTGGCAGGGACCTCGGTGCCATGCCCCTTGTCCAGTCAGAGGCAGGAGGTCCCCATCCCAAGGCCCTGCCCGAAATGCATGGGGTGCTGGCTCCTGGCCTCCCCCCTCCCAGGAACCCTGGATCTGAGACCCTCCCTGGTCACTACACGCCGGGCACTGCTCACGGTGGGCCTGTGGGCAGCCCCGCTGACAGGCCTGCACACCCCAGAAGCAAGGCTGACGCAGTCCAGCCCAAGGAGACCGCCTGTGACGGGCCGAGGACAGAAGGACAAAAGGCAGCTGTCCAACGTAGGCCAGCATGGGGGGCCTGACGCCCAGATGCTTCCACATGCACAACTCTGACTCCTTCAAGCTGGTCCCGGCCGCACGATGCCTTCTCTGACAACGTGAGGCTGCCGCGCACTAAAGCTGCCCCACCTTCTGGGTTTTTCCAACACGGAGGCATGGGCCACTCCCAGACCTCAAATAAGGCTGTCCGCTGATCCACACCCTGACTGGGGGACCATCAGAGTCCAGTGGCCTCATGACTGTTTCAACTTCAACACACGGCAGACCCTGTACCTGGCCCTTGACACCCAATTAACACCCACTTCTGTTCCTCGAGTCCCGGCCCCGTGCTCCGGGGCACACTGAGGCAGCACCAGCAGTGGCCAGCCAGCTGCACCAGGGGCCCGGCTCTCTAATGCCGTCTCGAGCCCGAGGAGGAGCGGACGGGGTGCTCCCTGAAGGCCTCACAGCCGCCTTCCTCGTCCCGTCCTCAAAGTCGGGCCCTTCCTCCGCGCTCTCTGCTGACTCCGAACTGCCGGCCCCAGATGCCCGGGCCCCGTTCCCTGGAGGCCGGAGGAGCTGTGCTGTGGCCACAACCACAAGGCACTGCCTGCTGGTCCGGGAGCCCTTCCTCCGGCCAGTGCCACACCCACCCGTTACCCATCAGCTCCCAGGGCTGCAGGCAGGGACCTCTAGCTAAGGAGCCTGACGGACAAGCATGTTTTTTTTTTGCTGAGGAAGATCAGCCCTGAGCTAACATCCGTTGCTAATCCTTCCCTTTTTGCTGAGAAAGATCAGCCCTGGGCTGACATCCGTGCCCAGCTTCCTCTCCTTTATATGGGATGCCACCACAGCATGGCTTGATAAGCAATACGTATGTCCGCACCCAGGATCCGAACCTGTGAACCTTGGGCCGCTGAAGCGGAGCACACGAACTCAACCACTACACCACCGGGATGGCCTCAACAACCACCTTTTGAAGGCCCGATACATACCGGTGACCTTAAACACACTGAATTTTCCTAAAGCCCCATGAGGCACGTTCAAGTAACAGGCTGAGACGCCCCATGGCGGACAG